ACGACTAAAAGAATAACTATCATGTGTTACTAAAGAATTTCTCCCATAAGAATATCTTAATAGATCATATATTTGTTTTTTTGTTCAATTTTTACTAAACATATATTCATTTATCAAAACATTATCTATAACTTTAACAAAGTAAGATTGAAATAATATTCATGTAACAAAAAAATCCGAAAACCCCAAAAAATTCGACAAAATCGAACCAATCCAAACCGATATAGTTGGTTTATTTTTTGATAAAAACCGAACCAACCCGTTCTATATACACACCTGTCGCCACGTATGGCTGCTAAAAGGGAAAGACTTCCTACTAGGAGCTTCTTGATTCGTAATGATCGAATCATATAATACTACACAATATATTATATAAATGGTTTTTGGTTGCAGAAATATTTGATGATCTTAGTGAAACTCATACTAAGGATACAAAGGGGATGCTATATTTGTATGAAGCTTCTTTTCTTGCAACAGAAGGTGAGAGTGAATTGGAGCAAGCAAGAAATTGGAGTGAAAAACACTTGAGAGAATATTTGGAAAATAAAAATATTGACCAAAATGTGGCTGAATTAGTGCACCATGCTTTGGAACTTCCATTGCATTGGAGGATGTTGAGATTAGAGGCAAGGTGGTACATCAATTTTTACAAGAAAAGACAAGACATGATTCCTTTGTTGCTTGAGCTGGCTATACTTGACTTCAACATTGTTCAAGCAGCTCATATTAAAGACCTAAAATATGTGGCAAGGTAATAACTCCCCTGGAAATTAAACAGGACTTTGCCTTTTAATTGTCATGTTTAAATTCTAATTCATTAGATATGAAAAAATAGGTGGTGGAAAGAAACAGGCTTAGCAGAGAATCTGCCATTTGCTAGGGATAGATTGGTGGAGAATTTCTTTTGGACAATCGGAGTAAATTTCCTTCCTCAATATGGTTACTTCAGAAGAATTGCGACAAAGGTAAATGCTTTAGTAACCACAATAGACGATGTATATGATGTTTTTGGTACTCTGGATGAACTACAATGCTTCACTCATGCCATTCAAAGGTAATTAATAATACCTCCTATTTTCTAATGTTAAAACATAATTAATTTGTAGCTAATTTTTATAGCTTGTAATAAAAAATTTAGATGGAATATCGACGAGTTGGATAACCTCCCAGACAATATGAAGATGTGTTATTTTGCACTTGACAACTTTATTAATGAAGTAGCTTGTGATGCTTTTGAAGAGCAACGCATTCCCATTTTGCCCTATCTAAGAAATGCGGTATTTTTTTTCTTTTATCTTTCTGAAACATTTCCCTTTCTTGATATGTAATATTACACTATACTGAATGAAATTAAAATTCTCAGTGGACAGATTTGTGCAAATCTTACTTAAGAGAAGCAAAATGGTACTTTAGCAAGTATATTCCAACCATGGAAGAATACATGGACAATGCCTGGATTTCGATATCAGCTCCAGTAATATTAGTGCATGCCTATTTCCTCATTGCTAACCCTGTAAACAAGGAGGCTTTGCATTACTTAGAGAATTACCATGACATAATTCGTTGGTCAGCTTTGATTTTGCGGCTCGCAAATGATTTAGGAACATCATCGGTATGTAAAACTCTCCTTTAATTTTTGAATTGACACTATCAATGTAATTTTGATCTGTTATAGTAGAAGGTTATCTGCCTTACTTAACAGATTAGTAATTCACTTACTAAGTGCAGTTGCCTGCTGTTTTACATAGATGGTGACGATTTACCAACAGTGCTTTTTCTATTGCTTAATGTAGGAAGAGTTGAAAAGGGGTGATGTACCCAAATCAATACAATGTTACATGAACGAAAAGAAAGTTTCTGAAGAAGATGCTCGACAACATATTAGGCTTTTGATTAGTGAGACGTGGAAGAAACTGAACGAAGCTCATAATATAGCAGCACACCCCTTCCCTAAGATGTTTGTTAAGTGTGCTATGAACCTAGCAAGAATGGCACAATGCATGTACCAGCATGGTGATGGACATGGCGGCCAGAATTATGAGACTAAAAATCGAATCATGGCATTGCTCTTTGAATCTATTCCTCCAGCTCACCAACAAAAAACCTTTTCTAATATTTGAATCATGGTAAATGAAGATGTTTTTCCACTATCCAGAGTGCTGTATATCATACGAAACCTGTCTCTGTTGAAAGAGTTCAAATGCCAATATTCATACAACAATAACGTCCATATCAACAAATTGAATTCGGAAGCTGTTTCTCCAATGAGAATAGGTAAGTACGAATTGATACAGGACTTAGGGCCATATGCTTGACTGCTAATGCAGCAGAAGTTCCAACAATTACCTTTCTATTTATGCCCGACTGCTAAATCATCACTGTGTGTCGCTTTTAGACGAACCTGGTTCTTTTGAGAATTTGCGCCATCGTTCTTTGTTCTTTTCCACTGAAGCAGAATTCTGAACAAACTCGGAGAGTCCTTGCCTGAAAGCCCCTATATTTACTCCTTTGCCCACCAATATGCTTGTGACACCCATTTTTGAAACCTGAAAAAGACTGCTTTAGCGTACTACTTTTGATTTAGACCAACAAGTGATGGTATTTTTTGAATCAACTGAAATGCATGATACAGTTAGCAAACAGTGATTATACCGCCTGTATGTTCCGATTTTCATCATCGAAAAACAGCATCTCATTATAGGGCACCGTCGTCTTTCGGTTGATTTTCTGAAAGTGATCCGTCTTATGTGTCCAACTGGAAAATATCTCCTGTAGCATTAAATAATCAGCATCATGACCTCACAGTAAGCAGCATCAGATAAAAGTAAAACAACCAAAACAGGAGTTTAACTACCTTATTTTTGGAGCACCTTGGGTAAAGTAAAATATGAATGTAACTGCAACAGTTTGTTAAGATTATAAGGGGCTTTTTAAATCATCATTCATCTTTATTAGAATTTAACCTCTTCAATTTTTTGATAAGGTAAATTGTATTAACAAAAGGGATTTAACCTCTTCATAGCTCATAGCATCTGGATAACATAATTATGGACCTATTATTTTCTTTGTCTTTCTCTCTTCCACCCTACTATCCCACTCCTCGACCATGTAAAGAGGGGTTGCGAGGAAGTCAACTACAAAACAAGGAGGCCAATGAGCTAAACTGACAGCAGTAATAGCTATTGTCAATAAAAATTGCAGGTTATCATAGCATTATAGAAAAACGATGAAAAGAGATGCTGAGATTTCCACCATCTCACCTGAGCAACAAACATTGATTTTATCCCCAATTTTTGAAGGAAAGCGTTTGCTATGTCTGGAGTGGGTGATCTTGAGGCAATAGCAACATTAACTCCCTTGTCATTGAGGGCATGTAAGATACCTTTGGCTTGAGGATACATAGATGGTTTCTCATTTTTGGAGCGGCATTCACTGAAATACAAAGCAGACACAAAAATGGTATTACGAGTACTCCAAGACCAAGTTTAAGCAAAATAACAAGCTCTTTCTTTCTTTTGGATAGATAATGAGATATAGAAAGAGTGCACACAGTTGTTTCAAGCAATGTTAGCTTGGAGTTGCCTTAAACTAAATGAAAGGCCTCGGGACAAGAAATAGAATTCATACTTCCTTGGCTCCTTAAAGCGGAGAGTGAAAACTGGGACTTAAACATTACTCAGTATTAGCTAGACCAAAATTCTGTTCTTAAAAAC